GACGTACGTATACAACAGCTGGTTAAGTTGGAAAGGCATAACCAGCCACCGCCAAATGGCTGCTTTCACTGCTAGTCGGCCATATGGCGACCCATATGTTCGGGAACACAAAACATAGCAAACGCATGGCGCCCGCGCCCGAACGCGCGGGGAAGAGCCGCAAGACCCCGCGGTGACTCACATGAAACAGCGCGCTACATTGGAGATCCAATCGGTCGCCGCTACGGGGGCTGCGCTCGGTGAAAACAGAACCCGACGTGCGCATATCCGCGCGCCCGCGCGCGTGAAAGGGCCGCAAGGTTACGCATTGACCTGCGTGCACAAATGCATGTTACGCTAGGGCGCATGGTGGCCTATCGCCACCTGCGAAACGTGCAATGCACCGCGCGGCCGCGGCGGCGCCGCCGCGCGCGCGGCGGCGCCAGCTGCCGCGAGCGCGCCGCCGCGACGCATGCGCCAGCGCGCAACGCGCCGCGCGGGCGCAGCGGCGCCGCCGCGCGCGGCGGCGCCAGCTGCAATGGGCGCGCCAGCGCGACGCATGGCGAACCGAGAGCCATCGGCAATCTGAGCGCACAGGAGTCATTGTTGGAAACATGCGTTGACACTTCCGCCATGCGCACGCCATGGGACGATAGCTCTAGGGGGTAAGTGGCCCTGGGCCATCTGAACGCTCAGAACCAAATTGCGACAACCGATTGTAACAAAATGCGCCCTTGGCCACAACGTGGGGCGATCCGAGGCCGCGTGCTAGATTCGCAGCGCGCCGCGCCGACGCGGCGGCGCCGCCGCGCGCGCGGCGGCGCCAACTGCCGTGCGCGCGCCAGGGCGCCGCACTGGGAACCCATAGTTCTGGGCCATCTGGGCGCGCGGCTCTAGGCCTTTGCAAATCGCATGAAAAAGGGTTGCGTCCTGGGCCACAACATGACGTGACGTACTGCCACTTGCGTATCTTGCTATGCAACGCGCAGGCGCGTCGACGCCGACGCGCGCGCGGCGGCGTCGGCGGCCGCGCGCGCACGCGCCGCGCGCGGAAAACTGGCGGCCACTGGCCATCTTGACGCCCAGGCCGAAGTTCTTACAACAGAAAATGTTACACGTGCGCCCTGCGCCACAACGTGGTGTGACATATCGCCACCTGCTAGCTTTGCAAGACGCCGCGCGGGCGGGGCGCCGCCGCCGCGCGCGCGGCGGCGCCCGCTGCCGCGCGCGCCAGCGCGTCGCATGGTGCACCGATCGCCCTGATCCATCACAACGCCCACAACTAATCATCGACGGCCACTTATAAAATCTGCATTCTAGGCCGCAGCATGGGACGTTGCATCGCCCCATGCTAGATTTGCAGTCGGGCGGCGGCCCGCGGGCGACGCGCGCGCGCCGCCCGCCGCCCGCCGACGGCTGCGCGCGCAGCGTTGGGCAGTCCCGAGTGCCCCCCCCTCTCAAAAAAAAGCTGCGATGTCGGCCTGGAAACTAAAGCAATGCCTTTGGTGGCGCAGGTCATTGTGCGCGCGTTCTCGGACGGCGCGCGGCGGCGAGCGGCGGTCGGCGAGCGCGCGCGCGCGCCGCGTGGAATTCCTGCTTGTCCACAGTGCGAAAGCAGCCATGTTGGCCTGGAAACTAACATGGAACCATTGCGGCGACGGATTAGGTTCAAGTTAGCATGCCGCGGCGCATGTCTTTTTTGATGGCGCGCGGAAAATGGGCGGCGGTCGACGGGCCGCGACCGATGCATTTGCAGGTTCACACGGGCCCCGTAACATTTTCCCCCCACGACGCGCGGAAGGCGGGCGGCAAGCGGTGGGCTGCCCGCGGAGAATTTCTGTTTTTTTGTTCTAAAATAAGGAAGCCGCCATGTTGCCTTAAGGAACCTTCAGATGCCTTAGCGGCGAACGATTTGATTTCCAAATTAACATCGGTCCTGCTGCACGTATTCTCTGAGGGTGCGCGCAGGGCGGGCGGCGGGCGGCGAACGACGAGCGCGCGCGCCACGCGGGGAGTTCCTGATTTCTTAAGAGCAGCCATGATAACCGAACAACTGAACTGAACCTTAAGCGGCGACCGATTACATTTCCGAATTAACATGTATCCTGGCGCGGGCCCGCGCGGTCCTGGGTTTCCAACTTACCACGCATCCAATCTATAACCGTAAAGAGCGGCCCCATGTGCCAACGCGGCGACTTTCGTCATATGGCATGGTGACGGACACGCGTCGCGATCACGACGATGACGATGACGATGCACATCTCGGATAACTCAACGAAACCCATTGTACATACAAGAATTACATGAAATACGCTGCGACGAATGCTGAAATGCACACCGGCCGCGTGGATGGCATGGATGGTGGAGAGAGTGGGCGGGGCTGTCTTTCCCTGACCGTGCGAACATCCACGACTCGGCAGCAGGCGCCGACCACCGGGGGCTCGGGCCCACCGCGCGGGAGCCGGGGGGGGGGGGCGCCTGGCCGCAGCCACGAGGACGGTGGAACAGCCAGGGCTGAGCCGAGGGGGCGCTACTGGGAACATGGCTTGGAGACTGGGTGGGTCCAGCAGCAACGAGGGGCAACGAGAGGGGGGGGACTGGCGTAGGGGGGGATGCATCGACCTGGAGTCGGCGACACACCGCCGACGGATCGGCGATAGGCCTCGGATAGTGAGTCCGCGCCTTCCTGGGCAGGCTGGGGCCATCGGGCCCCTGTCGGCGATCGATGGGCGATTGGGGGTCGATGCGTCCCCCCCTGTGCCTTTCCCCCCCCTATCGTTGCCCCTGAAGCAACCAGCCTGCCCCTCCATCCCGACATCCTGCCCAGAGATCTGCCTCAGGCCGCGCCGATTCGCCTCCCACGGCGGCCAGGGACCGGCGCGCCCCGCCGCGTAGGGCCCGGGACAGACACTGCGCTGTCCGGGGAAGGGGCTATAGGAGGCAACTGCTGGACGGGTTTCGTCGGAAAGAATCAGGAGGATCAAGCCCCATTTGGGAGCTATTACGCCGGAGTGGGCCTCGAATTAAGCGGGATTAAGCCTGATTGAGCGGGATTAGGCCGGATTGAGCGGGATGAAGCCGGATTGAGCGGGATTCAGCCGGACTGAGCGGGATTAAGCCGGATTTCGGACCAGGGCAAGGTCAGAAGTTGACCTCCCAGGAGCTGCATCCGAAAAGGGGGGGGGAGGGGCACGCCGGCAGACGAAGACGAACGCGCAGGCGGGAGGAGGAGAAGGCGCAGGACCAACCCCAAGAAGTCGGGCGCGCGCCAGCATGGGCTACACGGATCCGTGGATCCGGCGCGCGCGCGCGCCAGGTCCACAGCGCAGCCAGGCCTGGCGACGGAGCGCGCCGAGTCTGCACGGAAGCGGCTGGCGAGGCAACTCCCGGGAAGTGTTCCGCCAGAGCCGTTGATTATACCAGCCTCGAACGTATCCCTATCCCTAAGACTGACACGCCAAAAGGCGATGACAATCTTAGGGATTCGCCCTCAAAAAATAAGGGAATCCCTAAGATTGGCATCGTGATGAGGAGGTTCCCAGCATAGGTAGGGATATGTTCCAGGCTAGTAAGGTTATGCCCAGGGTTACGCAGGATCATGCGGGATTGCACAAAAATGGGCTGGATTCCACGGGGCTGGAGCAGATTAGGTCAGGCTTCGACCAGGGATCTACCAGCGCCGGTACTGGATGTAACCTCCTCGGAGTTGCACAATAACCAAGGACCATGCCAGTTCGAAGGCAGAAGACTGCAAGGATCTGGGCAGGGCCACGCGGGCCTGTGCATAACCAAGGATGTGGGCTGGCGAAGGGACGCCGCAACGTGGTGATCCATTGAGGCCGGAGTGGGGGGCGCCTCCAACCTGTGACCCGGCAGACGCATCCAAGCGGGGATGATCTGCTCAGGCCAGATGGAGGAGCGTCAATGTCGTGCACCAGGTCGCCGGCAGAGTGGCTGACGGTAGCCTGGGCAGAACGAGATGGGTGGACATTGGTCTGAAGGGAGCCTTGGGCCGAGACGTACCACCAGACGGTGGCCTGTCGGTGTCTACTGGGCGACATTGGAGAATGTTCTTTGGGGTCGAGGCCACAACCGAACGAAGGAGGAACCGCAATAAGGAAGAGTTCGTGTGGAAAAGGTGCAACGGCGGGGAGGACAAAGTCAACCAAAAGCATGTCGAGAAGCATGAGCAACGCACAACTTGCGCCGCATATCATTATGCCCTGCCCGTCACAAACACACACGCGGCGTGCCAAAGACGCATAAGTCAAGTGGGGGGTACGATGTCCGGCAAACCGCGATCTCTCGAGCCAGTGGCTACTGGGGCTAAAGGTGAAGGATGAGGGCAAGGGAAGAAAGGCAAGTGTGCGAAAAGAAGGGGGATAGTAAACTGAAAAGGAATAGAAATCGGCCCTCCCGTCTCCCTTCCAAGTCCAATCCAAGTCATAACATCCTCATCCCCACCTCCCGCGGCCAGTACCTCTCCTGAATTCCCTCCCCTCCCCACCCCTGACTCTTCCCTTCGCGCCCCTGCCCTTATGTAGTCTTTAGTCTACATCCCCCCTTCCTTCCTGTCATATCCCAATTCTGCCTTCATTCTTCCTCCCTCCTCATTAATCACTCCTCGCTCCGCCCTGCCTTCCTCCTTCCTCCTTCCTCCTTCCCCAATCTCGTCCCTCACAGACAACTATAGATTGCCCCCCCTTCCCACCCCGCGTCCGCGCCCTCCTCCCACCATTCCCACTGCTCCTCTTCCTCAATCATCCCTCCTCCATCTTTGCTCCTCCGTCCTCCCTCCTCCATGCTTCCCTTTCCTGATCGCCCCCCGCCCCACACCACCCTCCTCCCTCCTCCCCCTTGTTCAGATCTTCCCTCCCTCGCTGCTCCCTCCACCCTCCTCCTCTCTCCACTCCCCTCTTTTCCACCCCCCCTCTGGATGAGAAGGGGGTGGTGAGGGGGAGAAGAAATGAGGATGGCGAAGGGATAATTGAGGAGGCCGGGGACCCCCTTTGACTCACAGCCGTCCGAAGAAATCATCATCCTCGTCTTCTTCTGCTTGGTCAATGGCATAGAAGTATAAGAGAGAATCAGCAACGGCATCGAAGAAACTCATGAAGTGGAAGCACACGATGAAGCTGCAAAACGTCGTCCACACGATGACGGACCGCCACTCGTAGTCCAAACCTTTGACCTTCTCGCATAAGAAAAATGCCAAGACGTCGACGCTGGCCGTGACCATGCTCATCCCCGACAAGGAGAACAACACTTGGGCCCCGTCCAACCTTTTGACCGCGCCCCCTCGCTCCCTTTTAACAGCCGCAACCCGCCGGCCTGCGTCCACGTAGCTCCTGGAGGACACGCACATGTCCATGTACGCGTCCAGACTGATCGCCTCAATATGGTCCCGGTAGCACCGCAGGCAACACCAGCACACGGTGTTCACAACACTGTCTTCAGGCTGGTTGTCGAGCAAAACAAGCGGCACGCGGAACACATCTACCACAACCATGAACAAGGACCCCATTGCGAACGATCCGAGGTGGTATTTGAAAGCGTTGGTGTACGCCTCGCAAATCGCACAATTCTGCAGGATTTCCTTCTTGCCGCTTTCTCGATTGTAGTCAGTACGATCCGCCACCACGCACTCGGCATGCTGTGGCGAGTCAGGGAAGCAGCCAGCTATCTGGCTGGGTTGTTGGAAACTTCGAGGGGTAACCTCCCCTTCGCCGCGCACCCTCCCCTCCACCCCCCCCCCCGCGGCCTGTCGTTGTCGTCCGCTGTCCGTCGTTCGTCCGTTGGTTGCGTCGTGTCTTCGTGCTGTGTGCCGCGGGGCTCCTTTCCCACCTGCACAGTGCGTGCTGGAACCGCAGCAAGACGGCCAATGATCCTGTGACCAGCCCAATGTGTATGCAGTTGGCCCCAATGCCAGCCAAAGACGGCCCCCAAGTAGCTCGAAGATGCACCAGCATGCCTCGAGTGCGTGCCACATGAAGCCTCCAGAAAGGCCGCAACCCGACGCCATTGCGCGTAGCGTGGAGGCCTTCTCATCATACTACGGGCCGCAGATGGGCGGGGCGATGGAAATCGCGAAGGGAAGGCGGCCGCGCGCCCACTTCGAAAAGGCAGGAAGGCGGAGGTGGTGCAAAAGGCTGAATATCGTGAAGGCAACGGGGCGCCAGGAGAAGGGGAGACAAGAGGGGCGGCGCGAGGAGGCTAGCAGCAGCGGCAGAAAGAAATCGAAGCAGCCAAGAGCCGAGCGGAGGAAACGTAAACATTGAAGGGGCCCCAGGACACACAAATACATACACACTAATAAACAGATCCCCCATATTTTCCCACATTTTCTGGGTTTCTGTCTTCCCCCCCACTTCCCATATTTTCTCATATTTTCTGGGAATCGACGATGAATTGTGTCTGTGTGTCTTTTTCCCTCCTGAGGCATTGCCACCGAGGGGGCGCAAAGCGTGTGACGGGCGTGTCGGATGGAGCACACGCCGACGCCACGCGAACGCCCCCACTGGGGCTGTCGCCGGACCGCCATGTGTGAAGGGGCCCCAGGACACACGAATACACACACACACAAAATAAAAAGATCCCCCCTATTTTCCCATATTTCCTGGGTTTCTCTCTTCCCGCCCACTTCCCATATCTGCCCATATCTTCGGGGAAATCGAAAATTGATTGTGTCTGTGTGTTTCTCTTACCTCCTGAGACATGGGAGCGCCCAGGGCACGATGGCGCGTCCCCTGGCGCTGAAGGCTGCGGCGCTCCCCGTGGGGCGCGCCGGGCAACGTGCGCGACCGCGCCCGCCGGGGGCTGCAGTCGCGGCTCCCTGTGGCGCACGAAGGACTGCAAACAAAAACCAAGGATTGCAAAACAGAACCAAGGTTTTTTTGCAATCCTTCGAACCAAGGGCTTTTTTGCAATCCTTTCTTGCAATCCAGGGTTTATTTTTGCAATCCTTCGGTTTTGTTTTGCAATCCTTCGATGTCGGAGAGGCGTGCCGGAACGAGCGCGTCGACGCCAAGCGGGCAGGCCCACTGGGCCTGCTGATGGAGCACGTGGCACGAGACGTGCGCGACGTGACGCTGACGAGAAAAAACGTTGCAACAAGCGTTGGGGAACCACTTCGGGTGCCTCCCTCCTCCGCCTCTGGCCTTCACATTGGGCAAGCATTATCGGAGAACCAGGGCTTACCCAAATGAACCCAACATCCCGAACACAAGACCTGCCAATGTCAAGGTCAGGGCGTGGAAGGGGGGAATTGGGTTCTGTCTAGTTCAGTCGATCTTGAAGCAATGCTTTTCCGACAACAATCAATATGGGCACGAAGTGTGTGATGCGGGCTCACGCTAGGGGCACGGGGCGAACCCCAAACTAGGCTTTGCCGAACGGCTTCCTTCTTGTTTGTGGAAGACGCCGGTGTGTGCGGGTTCCTTCCCGACGGGTGTTTCCCGGGGTTGCTCGGGATTGACCGGGGTTGCCTCGGGGTGTGCGGGGTTGCCCTTGCAATGCCAAGCAATGCCATGCAATGCCACGAACTGCCAAGCAATGCCGAACAACGCCAAGGATGGCCAATCAATGCCAAGCAATGCCGATTTATTCCTGGCAACGCCAAGGAAGGCCAATCAATGCCAAGCCAAGCGCCAAGCCAATGCCAAACAAAACCAATGCCAAGCAACGCCAGGCGATGCAACACTATGCCAAGCAATGCCAGGCAAGCTCACGCAATTCCATGCCAATGCAAAGTTCTGCCTATGCCAAGCAATGCCGATCAACGCCAATCAATGGCACGCAACGCCAAGCAACGGTAAGCAATACAAAGCAACGCAACGCACTGCCAAGTAACGCAAAGCGATGCCAAGCACTGCCAATGAACGCCAAGCAGGGTACAGCAATTTCGAACTATGCAAAACAATGGCAAGCAATGCTTTGAATTGCACTGACTTGCGCTGATCAAGTGGGGTTGCGCTTGGTACACGTGGTAGATTCCCCAAACCGGGCACGCGGGCAGCACGGGTAGCGGCAGCAACAGTAGCGGCTGACAGCGCGTGAATAGTAGGGGTAACAACAGTAACAACGGCTGTCAGCGGCGACAGCTGGAACCACAGGGCAGTAGCAACAGTAGCACGTAGCAAAGGAGCAAAGGAGGCGGAGGCGGCGGGATGGAAGGAAAGAAGGTATGAGGGAAAACGAGGACCCAACTCCACCAGAATGCTTGGAAGATGCAGCGCGTTAGAGCTGCGCTTATTGTTTCCTCCGAGGAGCTCGAAGGCGGCCCCACGAGGACCCAAGAAGCTGCCCCAAAACGAAGACGGCCCCAGAACGCCCCAACACAACCCGATAACCCCCGAACGCGGCCCATGACCGCCCCACGACATCGGCTCCGAGAACTGGCCAGACGACCCCAAGCAGGTTCTGCAAAGTCTCTTCGGAAGAGCACGGTGAAGCCATCGCACCCCATACTGCCCCACGACTCCCAACATAGCCCCAGAAGGCTCCCCAGAAGCCCCCGAGGGGCCCCCGAGAGGGCCCCCAGAGGCCACGCAGAGGCGAGGCCGCACCCATGAGGAGCTGCCCGAGAGACAGCGCATCGCGCACGCAGTGGTAAGGCCACGCCGTGCGACAGCATCGCAGCGATGCTTCTCGGGCGGCCCCGAGATAATTCTACCAAGCCAGCTGGGCTGAACTCAGTGGGACCGGAGGGAGGAGGGAGGAGGGAGGAGGGAGGAGGGAGGAGGAGGAGGAGGAGGAGGAGGAGGAGGAGGAGGAGGAGGAGCAAGAGCAGGAGCAGGAGGAGGAGCAGGAGCAGGAGGAGGAGGAGGAGGAGGAGGAGGAGGAGGAGGAGGAGGAGGAGGAGGAGGAGGAGGAGGAGGAGGAGGAGGAGGAGGAGGGAGGAGGAATTTCGGTGCTGCGCTGGCACGGCGGCGGGGCGTGCCGCAAGCAACGGGATACCACAGCTGCGTCGCATAGGAGAGGACGTAGCGCGAGAGGGCGTAGCAGAAGCCCTCTAATCGGGTCGGGCGAAAGGGGGGGATAGCAGAGGGGGGTTTGAGAATCAACTCACGTAGCTGATTTTCCCGGCGACTCCCGCCGCCGGAGGCGGCCATGTATCGAGGAATGGGCCCCTCGGTGAGGCCGAAACCAGCTGCATGCAGCAAATTTCGTAACCCCCCCTTTCCCAATCCCCCCCTTTTTCGTCCGGCCCGATCTAACCAGAAAAACAAGAATATCCGGCGGCCCCGAAGAGAGGCGTACGGGAGGTAGAGTGTCACGCAGCATTGCCCCACGCACACTGCTCGGACTGGCAATACCACGCGTCGCGTGAGGGAGGCCTGGGGTATGGTATCCGATTTGGCTTCGCGGTGGCCTCGCGCCTTCCTCTCTGCGTGCAGTCGGCACGCATGCCCACCGTCTGTGTGTGCATATAAAAAATGTGTCGCAAGCGTGCTTATGTATTCATGGACATGGCGCCGATGGTATACGTGTAGGATACATGGCTCCGACACTGCAAACACCCATTGTGCGTATATATGTATATATACATCTCTATATAATACACCGATGTCTGCATATATGCGTGCACGTGTATGCAGACGCGCCCCTGGACACGTTCCCATGAGCCCCAGCCCACGAAGCACATGGGTTTCTTTCGCCCCTCCGCTGTAAGTCTCGGGATCCACGCGAGAGAGAGAGATAATTGCATCCTGCTTTCCACAGCTGCGCGCAGAGATCGACTGCCGATCACACAGCGAGAGAGACCCGCGTGAGGACTGCACCCTGGAGGATAGTCGTCCAGAGGGGCGGGGCTCTGGCGACACAGTGATAAGAACTCGTGTGAGGATTTAGGGCGAACAATGAAAAAAACTCACAGCCAAAAAGTCGTCCCCCAACTTTTCTTTTCTATTTTTGAATATTCCTCCTGTAAAGGGACAGGCCCGACTTACCCTCTTGAACATGTGTGCACGCGGGCGTAAGGTTCTGCAAATGCAACCACAAAACTGACCGACGAAAGGACTGCGCTCTGATAGGCAAAATCGAACTTGGCTGCGAGGATCCGGCAACGCGCTGGCAGCGACCCACATGAGGATTGCCCCTTGCTCAGCATACGTAATATTGCGCGGGAGGGGAGATCTGGCAACCCACCAGCAGTGACCTACGGAGGGATGCGTCCTGATGGGCAGAATTGTGCGCGGGAGGGCAACTCTGATTCATCAGGTAAGCTTTCTGGCACGCCCTGTGGAACATTGAATTGTGGCCCAGGGGCACGCGAGTAATCATAACAATCGACGTAACAATGAACTCCTCGAGGTACGCGCGGAATTCTCTGATCGGCGATATTTGTTCTGGGTCCCCGGACTACAGGTACCCCCCGAACTACAGGTACCCCCTTCCCGAACTACAGGTACCCCTCCCCTGGACTACAGGTACCCCCCGTTGGACTACAGTTCCCCCCCCTGGACTACAGGTACTACCCCCCCCCGGATTACAGGTGCCCCCACAGGACTACATCCACGCGTGCGTTGACGCGTGAGCACGCGTTCCCCCCCAGACTGCAGGTACCCCCCCCGGACTACAGGTACCCTTTCCCCGGACTAGCAGGTACCCCACCCCCAGACTACTGGCACCAGCCCCTGGACTACAGGCACCCATCCCCCGGACTAAAGGTACTCCAGATTTCGTAATAAAGGGAGGGGGGTCTCATTTCGGGGGGGGTCTCTTCCAGGCTATCTTGGAGGGCCTGGAGGGGTCTGGGGACGATGTTTTGGAGGGCTCTCCCACGGTGGAGGTCTGAAATGGCCTGCCTTGGAGGGTCCAGACCCCCTCCCTTTTTTTTTAAACGAAATCTGGAGTACCCCCCCTGGACTACAGGTACCCCCAGAACTATGGAGGGGAGGAGGAGGAGGAGGAGGAGGAGGAGGAGGAGGAGGAGGAGGAGGAGGAGGAGGAGGAGGACACAGAGTAGCCACGTCCCTGCCGCGCGGAGCGCGCCCGAGGCGGCGACTCTGAGCACGGGGAGCCGTGGAGTCCCTCAGGGGTCGACAACGCGCGCGCTCACGCGAGAGAAGTGGCGCGTGCGCCTGCGCATGCTCCGCGTGCTCTGTGGCGCCGTCCTCTGCTCCCTCCTCCCTCCTCCTCCTCCTCCTCCTCCTCCTCCTCCCCCCTCCTCCTCCTCTCCTCCTCCTCCTCCTCCTCCTCCACCTCAGCCTTTTCCTCCTCCTCATTCTCCTCATCACTCCAATGTGATGTTTTCCCGCCCCCCCACACACAAAAGACATCGGGGTACATCTCCATCCACATCCATATTTGCTTTGTTTGTTTGGTTGCTTTTTGGGGAAACAACTCCTCCTCCTCCTCTTCGATCGCCTCCTCCCCTTATAACCTCTAGGGTCATGTCCACCCAGATTTTGTGAACACGCACACACCCATCTATACATCTCTCTATATATATATACATCTTAGAATAAAGATACACGTGTCAGGGTGACTGGGCCGAACGGTCTTACACCGTCCCTTGGGGCGCGACCGACGTGGGATTCCGCGGCGCAGCTTATGCTTGTTCTTGCTGCTAGTGCTGCTGTTGAAGTAGTCTTCGCCCGCGACCCATCCGCGCCCCGCCCCGCGACCCACACCGAGACCCACCCCGCGACCCTCCCGCGACCTAACCCGCGACCAAACCCGCGACCCACCCAACGACCCACCCGCGACCCACCCCTCTCCTCACTCTTTCCGCAAGTGCGGGCATGTGTAAACATGTATGTATGTATGTATGTATGTATGTATGTATGTATGTATGTATGTATGTGTGTATGCATGTAGGTGTGTATGTATGTATGTATGCATGTATGTATGTATGTATGTCTGTCTGTCTGCCTGTCTGTCTGTCTGTCTGTCTGTCTGTCTGTCTGTCTCTCTGTATGTATGTATGTATGTATGTTTGTCAGTATGTCTGACTGTCTGTATGTCTGTATGTCTGTTTGTCTGTTTGTCTGTTTGTATGCATGTATGTATACAGATATGCATACAACTATGTGGGCGGGGGAACAATCCTCCTCCTCCTCCTCCTCGATCGCCTCCGCCTCCAGCCCTTCCTCCTCCTCCTCCTCCTCCTCCTCCTCCTCCTCCTCCTCCTCCTCCTCCGTCTGCTCCTTCCCTGAGCCTCTGCTGACCATCGATAGCCTCCCTGGCGAAGTCCTGGTGAGCCTTGCCAGCCCCTGCTAAACCCAGTGAAGTCCTGATGAGTACTGCCAGCTCCTGCTAAGCACGGCTGAGATCTGCCAGCTCCTGCTAAGCCCTGCGAGTGAGCCCTGCCAGCCCATGCTAAGCCGACGGCTTAGCATGGGCCCCGAGGCAAATTTCGGCATCTTTGGGCCCCGAGGCAAATTTCGCGTCACGAGTAATGAAAATAGATTGGCATCTGTATTGCGGGGTGGGTGTCATAATCTTGCTCCCGAGCCGTGCTGGCATGTCACGTGTCGGAACCCTGCTAACGCCCTGCAGCGTAACGATGTGCCCCGTTAAGCTTTGCCAAACTATCCTAAACCATGCTAAGTTTTGGCTGCGCCCTGATAATTTCTGGTATGCAATGCTCACCCCTGCTAGGCGTAAAACGTCCCTCGCCATGGTAAGCCTTGCGAAGCCCTGCGACGCCGGCTTCAGACTTGCCCCAGCCATCTAGTCTCTTATTTAATCGCTTCGCTCATTCCGCCGGCCCATACAGTCTCATGTCTGCCGTTTGCCCGAGGGCCTGGTGTCAATGCGGCGCTTTGGGGGTTCCTGGGGCCGCTTGGGGGACTCCTGGGGCGCTCGGGGGGGCATTTGGGGGGCCTCCTGGGGCCGCTTGGGGGACTCTTGGGGGCCTCCTGAGGGCCCCGTGGGGGCCTCTTGGGGCCTCTTAGGGGCCTCGTAGGGGCTTCTTAGGGCCGAGGGCTCGAAATGTTGTTTCGTGTTCCCTCTCTGGGGCCCCTTTGGGGGCGTTCTTGGGGCCCTCTTGGACCGTTTTGGAGGCTTCTTGGGCCGTCTTCGAGCCCTCTTGGGCCATCTTGGGGCCCTCTTGGGTGCCTCTTGGGCCCTCTTGGGGCGATCTTGGGGGCCTCTTGGGCCGTCTTGGGGCGTCGGGAAGCCGAAAAGGTGGAAGCTCCAAAATCTCTCAAAAACCTATGGAAAAACAATGATTTTTGCCTCCGGGGGCCCTATTGGGAGTGCTCTTGGAGGCCTCTTGGGGCGTCTGGGGGCTATCTTGGGCGTCTTGGAGCGATCTTGTGGCATGTCGGACCCCTCGTGTACCATCTTGGGGGCCTCTTGGGGGCCTCTTGGCCTTTCTTGGGGCTCTCGGGGACGTCTCGGAGCCCTGTTGGTGCGCTCATGGAGCGCTCGGGGGGACCCGGCCGGGACCCGGCCGGGACCCGGCCGGGACCCGGCCGGGACCCGGCCGGGACCCGGCCGGGGACCGGCCGGGACCTGGTCGGGGTACTTTTCGTCCGGGGACCCCCAGGGGCCGCCCCGCGCGCGCGAACTAGAAAATTGTTAACCAGTTACCGGAGATCTTAGCACGCCTCTGGCCCGTTGGGCCGGCGAATTTGCCATACCAACCCTGTTAAGCCCTTGCAGTCCATGGTGAGCCTCGCTCGGCCCTGCGGAGCCCTGGTGAACTCTGCTCTGCCCTCATAGGCTTTGCCAAGCCCTGGCCCTGGTAAGCCCTGCCACGCTCTGCTACGCTAGATTCCTTACAACTGCTAAGCCGCGCTCGGTGCTGCGATGCCCTGGTGAGGCCTACGAAACACTGATCAGTTTGATTCAGCACTGCGGTGGGCTGCTACGCTCTGCAGAGCCGTGCTCACATCAGATGAACGAGATGTTGCTCTGCTGGCGCTCGTAATCTCTGTTCGGCCCCGGTGTGCCCTGTTGGGCTTCTGACCAGCCATACTCGGTCATGCTAGGCCCCGGTAAGCCATGATGCGCCCTTGCGCCCAACCCTCCTGAGGCAAGTTGGGCCCTCCGAAGGCATTGCTGTGATGTGCAAAGTGTTGGCACGCCTTGCTAGCCAACGCTAGGTTCTGCTGTCCTGCTAAGCCCTGCTGCGCACAGGTACGGCCTGGTAAACCTGCTGAAGTCTGCTAAGCTTCCTAAACCCTGCTAAGCCCTGCTAGGCCTTGGAACGCCATGCTGAGCTTGGCTACGTCCTGGAAAGCCTTGCTTCAAAATGCGTAACCCTGCTATGCTCTGCCAGGCCGAAGTGTGATCAGCTGAGCAGTGAGCGGGGATGCCAGGCTGGGTCTGCGAGGCTCTGTTGGGTACTGCTAAACCCCGTTAAATTCTGTTCTGCCTTGCTCGGCCCTGCGGAGCCCTGCAACGCCTTGCAAAGCCTCGTGCAACATGTTAAGCCCTGGAAGACGATGATGAATAGCGCGAGACACTGGTAGGCCAGTCTAGGCCCTGCTGAGCCCGAGCGAGCCTTGCTAGCCCCTGCTCAGCCCTGCTACCCTCTGCTCTGCCCTGCTGAGTTGCGGCAGACCTGAGCTCTGGCAGGCGTTGCTAAGCCCTGCTCAGGGCTGCGAAGACTGGTTTCGACATGGCAAGCCCTGCTGAGCCATGCTAACTTCTACTAAGTCTGGCGAAGCCCTGGTAACTATTGCTAGCCCCCCCCCACTAAGAACAGCGAAACTCTGCGAACAGTTGCCAGGCCCTGTTGAGCCCTGCTGAGTCCTGCGCAAGCGCTCGCCCTGATACGGGCTGCGAAGCGGCGATAATCCCGTGCCCAGCTCCCAGTTTGGCCTCGCTACGCCACGCCAAAAAATGCAAAGACCTACTAATACGAGTTGATCTGCAGCGCAAGCGTCTCACGCATGCAGCCCATGTTAGCCAAAAGGGGAGGCATAAGAACAGCGAGAGAGAGGGAGAGAGAGAACGAGAAAGAGAGGGAAGATAATGATAATGATGAGGAAGAGGGAGAACGAACGTAAAGGTCCCCCAGAACACCGAGGGGCTCCACAATCTCCCAGCCTCGCGACTCCAGGGGTATCCGTCGCAGCTTCAAGGAATCCGCGCGGACCTCCGATACCTGGGCGTGATTACAGTTTCGCTCAGTTCTGCCACTGCGGAGCCCTTGGGCACGATGCAGAAAACAACGGAAGAAGCGCAGGAACACAAAACTAACCGAGCTCGAGCTTGGTTCGAATCTGTATTTCGAAGAAGTCCCGCGCGATGGGAAGATGTTCTTGCGCTCGGGAACCATATTCGGGGTTGGTTCGAACCTGCTTTTCGGGGATGCCCCGCACGAGACGCCCACTTTTCTATTGTTTGGAACCGACTTCTACTGTCTATTGTCTATTGTTCGGAAGCGTCCTTGGAACCTGGTTCGACCCCCTGTTTGGGGATACACTCCACCACGCGGTTCGCCATATTGGAACCGCCATCCCGTTTAGCCGTGTAAGCATCTCATTGGAGGTGCCAGCCACCATCCCGTTTAGCCTCATAGAATAAGAAAAATCTCATTGGAGGTGCAAGCCGGAAATCGCCCGCCCCCCGCCGACGCAGCTCCCCTCCCGTCACGTGGTGCCAAGCTCCGCGCGCCTACAGTCGGGGCGTTGACCTAAGGAACCCTAAATAAGGAACGAGGCCCCTGTCATCCACAAGTTGAACTTCGATTTCCCATCGGAAAGCAAAGGAAACCCCAAGGCAAACTGTGAAGCAATCAAGGAACACGGAGCCCCTCCCCAACGTGAAGGGTTCCTTCTTCAGGGCCCCGACTGTACGTGAGAACCTCCGATCCACGCTGCGCCGGCCTGTCAAAACTGGGCGACCTTTTCTCACGGCACAATAGGTTCTCCTTCGCGGGAGGCCCTGCGGGCCAACGACCCGGAAATTACAAACAACCGGCTTGGTGTCAGGACCCCCTGGACGGGGAACTTCATGAGCCAGTACACGTCCTTCATTTCTAATCGTGCTCCTTTCTAATTGTGCTCGTTTCTAGTTTTTCCTGGCCCCCTCGTGGCCAGGAAGAGGCCCAGGATAGAACAATTAGAACTGAAAGGATCTTGGCCCCCCAAAAATCAAAGAAGTGTCGAATACTCAGAAATGAAGAATGTGTGAATTGGCGCGCCCAGGGTCATTGCAACCGTGGGTCGCAGAATCCTCGTCTCTCTTCGTTCCCTCCAGGTGGCGTGTGCGAAAGCCATGGCACGCAAGGCCTGGCTTTGGGGAGTCCTGCACGGCAGCCTGCCCAGCCCAGAGCAGCTGCGACTGAGACACGATCCTCTCAGAACTCCCTCCGGCCTGCGGGGCGCAGCCCCTGGCACGGACCCGCCTGCGGGCCGTAGCCCCTGGGGGCCCTGAGGATCGCTTCTGGGCACCCTCCGCCAGACGAGACCGGACCAGACCGCATCGTCCTCGACGGGCGGGCGCGCTCGAAACTGCCCATGGGGCGGTCCTGGGACGCCCCCACTCTGGCGACACAACCGTGGGGTCCCACGAGCGGGGCGCGTTCGGAAAATGCACCCGAGACGGTCCTGGGGCGCACCCTGGTCCGGCCCCGAGGCGCACCGTCCTCGGGCTGGCGCGCCCTGAACGCGCCTGGGGCATTCCGGGGACGCACCGTCGTCTGGAACCGGGGCGCACCGCAGTCTGGACCCCGGAGCGCCGCGCCGTCCTGCGGCTGGCAGGCTCGGAACGCACATGGGAAAGTCCTGGGACACACCACTGCCTGGCCCCAGCTCCTAACACGCACCATCCTCGAGCTGGCACGCACGGGGTGCACCTGTGGCGGATCTGGGACGCACCATTGTTTGCCCATGGCACGCCCCATTCTCGGGATGTCGCGCGACAGTGGAGGATCCGGCGCGGACCCGGGTGCGCCAGGCGACCTCCCGTGAGGAGCACAAAAAAGATCCGTGATGTCATCGACATGTGACCACCATCCGAGCCGTTAATTCTCTAGAAGCTCGACGTTTCGATGTGTCTTGGTTGACGCATTTTCGTTTTTTCTTTAAAATGGCGGCAGTGTGAATTCACGCGATTTCCGCAACGCAAGGCAAGCCCTCCTGCTGTCAGGAGGGCTTGTGTCAAGGAAGTGGACGGAGGGGCTCGGAGAGTGCAACTTTACTGGCTACCCGCCCTACCTGTCGAAGGAGCCCAAAAGTTCCAAGATTGCTGAGGGGTTGTGCAGAAAATCCTCCAGGAGGATACCCTGGATGCCAAGACTGTCGCTTCCCAAGGCTTGGAAATTGGTCGAAGAGGCAGTCGACGAGAAGATCCAAAAGATGTCCCTCAAGAGACCCCCAGACACCTCACACAGCACCCGGCAGTCGCCGAGGTAGCCCCAGGAACTCTCCACCATGGCCTCAGAACTCCCCAAGGATGCCCAGAGGTGTCTGAGATGCCAGAGAACGACTGACAGAGCCCCAAAGACGTGCCACAGCTTCCTCCCACAACAGCCGGGGGAACGCTCAGTCGAGCAGCTTGTCCGACCTCGGCCAGAAAAGGTTGGCCCGAACTCGGACCCGCCGGAGGCGACCTCGATGTAATACACGATGGCCTCCACGCCTGGGCAGTCTTCGTCGAACTCGATCACCAGGTCTCCCATATCATCGCGCCTGAATCCGGTCGACAGGAAGAGGAAGAACGAGGCGAGCAGCTGGATCGGGAGAAGCAGCTTGACGACGAGAGAGATCAGCGGCTCCAGCAGCAGCCCAGACACCTGCCCAGCCCTGGCAACCCACAGGACACTGGCATTGACCTCCAATCATCAGGGGTTCACGTCCGCTTCTGCCGCCTTCCGCCGCGGTGCCATAAACCTCCGCCAGCGAACCCGCGGTGGTTTTCCTTCCGCACGCTTCCGCGGACACTCTGCCCTCTCCTGGGAGATGTCAATCCTCCGTTCCTTTGACGAGGGAGCCCTTCCTGCAGCGGCCCGCCTGGAACACGCACTCGGCGGCCGCCTGTACATACCCGCTGGCCACAGCCAAGTCCTTGCACCTGGAAAGAAATACTCCCAGGATGGCTGGGGGACTCTCATGACACTCGCTTGCCAGTCTGGTCATCTTCCCTGCTCTAGCTCCCTCCCGTCTCTCCCCCTTCGCTTCGCGTTCCCACCTCCACCCCCTCCATCACCATTGTGGATCACGGCCCTGCGCCGCTCCCCGCTTCCCTCAGTGGGACAGCGGCCCAGTGGTGTTACAGCGGATGTTCGAAGGTGGCACTCGCGGGCGACATCCTCTAACTACACGCCGCAGCTGTCGGCGAGGCCTTGCCCAGGGTGGGCGCCGGCGCTGCCCCCGCGGGCGGCGATGCTGCTGCTCACGCCGGCGGCGTGCGCCGGCGGTGGCCTGGCGCGCCGCTCTGGAGGCGCGGCTGCAGGCCCGGCCGGGGCCGCCGGACTAGTTAATTCGGTGCATCTCCTCCTCCTCCCCCTCCTCCTCCCCCTCCTCCTCCCCCGCAGCCGCGGGGCGCCCTGTTCACATGGCAAGGAAGTGTGATGGCTGCTCCCTGGAGTGGCGGCAGCGCCGATCCTGGGCCGGGTCTGGCCACATGCTGGGCCGGCCCGGGTGCAACCACGACCTCCGGCGCGCAGCCTGCCGAGCATCTGGCGCGCGGTGCGGCCGTGGCGGCCCGCGCGCTCGGGCTCGGGCCCCCCCCCCCCGCCGCGCGCGCCACGAGGTCGCTGCGGCGAAGGGCGCTGCTCTCGCGTGCGGCGCAGGGGCGCTGCACCAGCGGGCCCCAGCCTGGCGGGCCAGCGAGGAAGCGGCCGGCGCCTCGCGCGGGCGGCCCGCCCTCGAGGGTGGCCGGTGGCCCCACGGCGGCCCCTGCCGCGGAGCAGCGGGCGGCAGCGAGCGCCGCGCGGAGAGGCGACCCGCGCCGCGCGGCAGCCAGCGGACGAGCGCCAGTCGCCGTGGGCCTAGGTTCGCAGCTTTTTGTTTTTCCTCGCTTGTTGTCCCAGGGATCCTGTCGACAGGCGGCCTCGAGGAGTGGCGGTGGCGACTTCCTCCCTCGCAGATTGGGCAGAACCACTCTCAGCAAAGCGCCGTTTCGTGAAGGCAGCCCGGGGCCGCCGGGGCACTGCGTGCGCACGGCACCGCAGTCCGAGTGCACCCCGGCTTGGCACAGCCAGCACCTCAGCGGCATCCCAAAAGAGCCGCCTGTATCTGGCGAGACTCACGTCGACCAGCGAAACTGACCGAGGATTGCACCGGCACGCTCGAATGCCACTGTCAACTGGACTGGTGCAGATTTCCTCAGTCTAGACGAGCGCGTTCCGCCACTCGCAAAAAGTAACTACTTGCAAATGGCCTGGATCTGGCGCGGGGGGTCTACACTATACTCCGTCGACGCAAACACATGCTTGTTCGGACGTTTGCAAGTAGGCACTTCGCGAGTAGCGGAACGCGCTCGTGTACAGGACCCGCTCGGGACACGCCGGCAGCGACCGGCCGCGGCCGCCGCCTCCCGGCCGGCTGGAGGGGCAGCAGCAGCGGCGGCCGCAGACGCAGGAGCAGCAGGAGGAGGAGGAGGAGGAGGAGGAGGAGGAGGAGGAAGGGAAGGAGGAGGAGGAGGAGAGGGAGGAGGAGGAGGAGGAGGAGGAGGAGGAGGAGGAGGAGGAGGAGGAGGAGGACGGGGGAGGAGGAGGAGGAGGAGGAGGGGGAGGAGGAAGAGGAGGAGGAGGAGGATGAGGAGGAGGAGGAGGAGGAGGAGGAGGAGGAGGAGGAGGAGGAGGAGGAGGAGGAAGAGGGGGAGGAGGAGGGGGCTCCCGCCGAGAAGCGGCGGAGGGGCGCCCAGGCCAGCGGCGGGGCAGAAGGGCCAGACGCTGGGCCCTGGCTGGGCAAGCCGCCGCCCAGGGCGCGCGGCGGGCTGGGAAGCACCACTGGTCGCAGAGCAGCACCAGGCCCCCCCAGGTCGCAGAGCCAGACATAATCGCGCCTTTTTAAAAAATAAAAGGACTGGAGGTTTTCTGTCCATTTCGGCCTCGTGGGGGGCCCTCGCCGGGCCACGGGACCGTGAACAAAACAACTCAGGATGAAAAGCTGGTCCCAAGAGAAGGGTCGGGACTTCCAGGGGCCCCGTACTGAAATTAGCCTGGCGAAAAACCCATGCACATGCAGTTGTGGGCACAGCCGTTGTATGCACCGCATTTTGTGGAACTCCCTATGAGGCCGCGAAACATGTGAGAGGTGTGCCAAGATGGTTGCGGCGGGCGCATGCGAACGCTGAAATTTGGGCCTTCGGTCGGGCTCCCTGTGGGGCCACGGAACGTGTGAGAGGTGTGCCAAAATGGGTGCGGTGGGCGCATGCGAACGCTGGCATTTGGGCCTTCGGTCGGGCTCACTGTGGGGCCACGGAACGTGTGAGGGGTGTGCCACAATGGGTGCGGTGGGCGCATGCGAACGCTGGCATTTGGGCCTTCGGTGATGCTCCCTGTGGGGCATGGAACGGGTGAGGGGCGTGCCAAAATGGGTGCGGTGGGCGCATGCGAACGCTGGCCCATGGGGCCCCGAAACGTGTGGGGGGCGTGCCAAAATACATGCGGTGTGCGCATGCGAATGGCATTTTGGCTTTCAATCGGGCTCCCTGTGGGGCCACGGAACGTGTGAAGGGTGTGCCAAAATGGGTGCGGTGGGCGCATGCGAACGCTGGCATTTGGGCCTTTGGCGAGGCTCCCCATGGGGCCACGAAACGTGTGAGGGGCGTGCCAAAATGGATGTGGTGGGCGCGTGCGAACGCTGGCATTTGGGCACTCGGTGGGGCTCCCTGTGGGGCCACGAAACGTGTGAGGGGCGTGCCAAAATTGATGTGGTGGGCGCGTGCGAATGCTGGCATTCGGGCACTCGGTGGGGCTCCCTGTGGGGCCACGAAACGTCAGAGGGGTGTGCCAACATGAGTACGGTGAGCGCGTGCGAACGCTGGCATTTCGGCCTTCGGTCGGGCTCCCTGTGGAGCCGCGGAACGTGTGAGGGGTGTGCCGACATGGGTGCGGTGGGCGCATGCGAACGCTGGCATTTGGGCCTTCGGTGGTGCTCCCTGTGGGGCCACGGAACGCGTGAGGGGTGTGCCAAAATGGGTGCGGTGGGCGCATGCCGACGCTGACATTTGGGTTTCGGCTGGGCTCCCTATGGGGCCCCGAAGCGTGTGAGGGGTTTGCCCAAATAGGTGCGGTGTGTGCGCGCATGCGATCGCTGGCATTTGGGCATTCGGTGGGGCTCCCTGCGGGGGCAGGTGTGCCAAAATGGGTGCGGTGGGCGCATGCGAACGCTGGCGTTTGGGCCTTCGGTGGGGCTCCCTGTGGGGCCACGAAGCGTGTGAGGGGTGTGCCAACGTGAGGGGGGGGGGGCGGGAGGAGGAGGGGAGGAGGGGGCAGCGGGAGGAACGCGGGGAGCGTCGCGTCAAAACGAAGACCCAACACCATAGGATGGTTGGGACAAATCAGGACGTCGCGTGAACGGGGAGCGGGACCGGGCCCCGTGTCTGACAACCCTGTCGGCGATGCAGCGGGTGGTCCGGCAGTTGCCGGCCAGGTGTCGGCAGAGCCCGCAGGAAGGTCAAGCAGCGAGCCCGCCGTCGGGGAACCACCAGGAGACGGCCCCGATGGCAAGAGCGCACACGTGACATCCGCCACCGTGCCTGCACGGAAGGGGGAAGTCAAGACCTGGGCCGCCACGGAAACGGAAAGAGCACTTCCTGGAGTGGCCCGCGGGGGTTCACAACATCCCTCGCACAGGAAGCCTTGGCGTTCAGAGCTCTTTACGTCTTCGTTTGCACTGGGCGCTTTGGCCTTCAGGGCTTTTCAAGTCATCAAGAGCTCTTGGTAGCCCTGACGTTCAAAGAGTCTGACGCCACCGACTAGTCTAGACATGTGTCTTCCGCCACCTGGAACTCGTCGGAGTCTTGGCGTCAAAGCTGTGTCCGTCACTTGGAACTTGGCCTCTCTGGATCTTCTTGGGGGTTCTCTCGGGGCCCTTTGGGACTGCTTGAACACTTTGGGCCGTCCTAGGGGAGCCTTGGCCGTCTTGGGTCCCTCTTGGGACCTTTTGGGGCTCTCTTGGGGGCCTCCTGAAGCCCTCTTTGGGCTCTCTTTGGGGCCTCTTTGGGCCCTCTTAGGCAATCTTGAAGCCCTCTTGGGCCGTATTCGGGTCCTCTTGGACCGTCTTGGGGCCTTCTTGAAAGATTAGGGCCTCTTGGGCCGTCTTGGTCCAGCGGAAGCCCGAAAAGGCAAGAACCCTAATCAACAACAACAACACCAACAACAACAACAACAACACCAACAACAACAACAAACACATCAACAGCAACAACAACAGCAGCAGCTACAACAACAACAACAACAACAACAACAACACCAACACCAACAACAGCAACAGCAACAACAACAACATCAGCAACAACAACAACCACCACAAGAGCAACAACAACAGCAACAACAACAACGGCAACACCACCAACAACAACAGCAACACCCAACACCACCAACAACAACACCAACAACAACAACCTTCAACAACAACAACAACAGCAGTAACCAACTCCAACAACAACAATAACAACATCAACAACAAGAACAATAACAACGACAACAACAACACCAACAACAACAACAATAATTTTAAGACTGATCGCCCTTATATGCTCGAGTGTCCAATAACGCGTATTTCCCAAACCCTCGATACCCGCCCTCTTCGTCTTCGATCGAACCCCTTTTGGGGGGTATACCTTTCTTCCCTGCAGGCCGGGCCCCGGCAAGCGGCGGGGCGGCCGCGGACCGTCGGCCTGGCCAGCGGCAGCGCAGATCGGCGGGGCGGCCGCGGACCGTCGACCCGACCCCAAGAGGTACGGACATGGGACCGACCACGACGACGACGACGACGACGACGACGACGACGACGACGTCGAAGACGACGACGACGACGACGGCGACGACGAGCGAAAGCGAGAGCGAGCGAGAACGACAGCAGGGCCACGAAGGGCACGAAGTAGGCCACGAAGGGCGACAGCGGGGACACGAAGGGAATGCGTATGGGGCCACGAAGAGCGCGAACGATTTGGGGCCACGAAGTGCAGATAATGTGGGGCCACAGAAAGCAACTATGGGGCCACTGAGGGTAGCAACTGGGCCACGTAGGACAGTGAGGGGGACACAAATGGCGACAGCGGGGCCACGAAGGGCATGCACATGGGGCCACAAAGGGCGCGACTCCTGGGTGCCTGGGTGTCGGGAGCGCGGCGCTTGGGCAAATTGCAGGAAATTCCAACGCAAGGCCATTCTTCAGTAAGTTGCAAGCAAGTCTCCAGCGAGAGCGCGACTCCAGAGCGCCGGGAGAGCGATTCCTGAATAAATTGTAAGGAAGTCCCAAGCGAGAGCGCGACTCCTGAATAAAATGCGAGGAAGTCTCGGGCGGGAGCGGGGGTCCTGGCTAAATTGCAAGGAAGTCTCTGGCGGGAGCCGTTGTTGTTGTAACCCGGGGGCCAGGGGGCCAGTTTGAGCAGGAAGACTTTCCCTGTCAAAAACAGGGTGCGAGCGTCGAGGAGCACACTTTGATTGAGAAAAGACAGTATGCACCGGTGGGGGGATCAACGATAATTATTCTTCAGAAAGGAGAATTCAACAACAACAACAACAACAACAACAACAACAACAACAACAACAACAACACCAACACCAACAACAACAACAACAACAAGAACAATAACAGCACCAACAACACCAACACCAATAATACTAATACCAACAATAACAACAATAACAACAACACCAACAACAACAACAACAACAGCACCACCAACAACAGCAGCAGCAACAGCAACACCAACACCAACACCAACAACAACAGCAGCAACAACAGCAGCAACAACAACACCAACGACAACACCACACGCAACAACAACCACGGCAGCCACAACCACAACAACAACAACAACACCACCACCAACAACAACAACAACAACGACAACAACGACAGCAACAACACTCACAACAACAACACCAACAACACCAACACCAACACCAACACCAATACCACCACCACCACCACCACCACCACCACCAACAACAACAACAACAACAACAACAACAACTACCGAATGACGATCATTGTTTCTGGCCTCGTGGGCCCTCTCCGGGTCCTCTTGAGCGCCTCGTGGACCGTACTGGGGCCATCTGAAGCAATCTGGGAACGCTCTTGCCTTGGGCTCTCTTGGAACGCTCTTCGGCCGTCTCGCAGCCGTCTTGGACCTCTCGTAGGCCGTCTTGGGGGCCTCTGGGCCGCTGTTGGGGGCCTCTTGGGAAATCTCTCGGGCAGGGGAAGGCGTGTCACCCCCCAGAGCCCCCGATAGATCATCAAAGGCCCTCCTGACGGCTCGAATAGGCCCCCGAGACCCTTCAAGCTCTGCCCTGCAGAGCTGTTACGCAGGCGCGGTGGCGGGGTTTGCTGCAGTCAGCTGGATACAACCGGCAAAGCAATTGCGACCAGCGCAAAGAGGCGCAGAGCGCTTGTAGAGGCGCTCGAAGAAGGGGCGACGGTCGCGCATGCTATGGCCACGACGAAGTCTGAAGCTCAGGCGGAGTTCGTACAGCAGACGCTCTGGATCGCCGAAGGTCCGTCGAGAAGCCCCCGATGAGGCGTCTGGGAACCAGGAGGCACGCACGGCAGGCGGGCATCATCGTGAAGGGCGCAACCGAGATCTATGACGGGGGGGCAACGATGCAGAACAAGACAAGAGGAGGCCGTACCCAGACGGGCCATCGGCATGGATACGCGGACGAGAGACCACGCAAAGGCCGGAAGCGCGTGGAGGTGCGCTGGCCGCAAAAGAAACGCTGCTCCACTGCAGCGTGACGCGGCGGTCGGCTGCCCAGTACCCAGACATCCGACGTCTCGATTTTTTCGAGACGCGGGCCCCCGACCTCCCGACCACTTCCCTGGGACCGGTTTTTCATCCCGAGTCGTTTTTTGACGGTCCCGACGCCCGGCGAGGGCCCCGAGAGGCTAAAATCTATGAAAAACCTCTGTCTCGATTTTTTCGAGACGCCCGATGTCTGGGTAGCGCGCAGGCGGATAAGGACAAGAAGGCCGGCGGAGGAGGTCTGGCCCAACGCCCAAGCCACAGCCGCCACCGCGGCGCCGTGCGAGCGCCGCAGCCCCCGGGGGCCCACGGAGGCGGGCCGGCCCGAGCGCATCGTGCAGCAGCAGGTGCAGGACGGCGCAAGATGCCGGGCCGAGCCGGCCACGTCCTTGGCCGGCTTCCGGCTGGAGGCCCGGCAGTGCCCAGCCTGGAGCGGAGCAGGCACGACCTCAGCCTCGGGGCTGAGGGGACCGCCCCATGGCGCCCCCATTCGCCCCGCTTCCCCCCCCCTCCCTCGCCTCACCCCCGCGTGTCCCGCTCCCCCCCGCCCCACCTACGCACTGGTCCCTGCCCACCCCCCTTTTCCTTTCATTCTCCTCCTCCTCCTCCTCTCCCTCCTCCTCCTCCTCTCCTCCTCCTCCCTCCTCCTCCTCCTTCTCCTCCTCCTCCTCCTCCTCCTCCTCCTCCTCCTCCTCCCCCTCCTCCTCCTCCTCCTCCCTCCTCCTCCTCCTCCTCCTCCTCCTCCTCCTCTCCTCCTCCTCCTCCTCCTCCTCCTCCTCCTCCTCCTCCTCCTCCTCCTCTCCTCCTCGTCCTCTCGTCCTCCTCGTCCTCCTCGTCCTCCTCCTCCTCGTCTCCTCCTCCGCCTTCTCCTCCGCCTCCTCCTCCTCCTCCTCTTCCTCCTCCTCCTCCACCTCCTCCTCCTCTGTCCTTTCCTCCCCAGGGGGTGCCTGTCGCGTCTGCCCTGGCTTGGCCAGGGCTGAGGCCACACCACCACCCGACGCCCTGGCGATGCGGCCCCAAGGCCTTTTCGGGCACGGCGGCGCTTCGTGGGGCGGGCCCCCCCGCCATCCCAGCGAGCCCACGCACCACCTCTTGTCCAACGAGCAGTGGTCCCTCTCCCCCTCCTCCTTCTCCTCCTCCTCCTTCTCCTCCTCCTCCTCCTCCTCCTACTCCTTTTCCTCCTCCCCCTCCTCCTGCTCCTCCTCCTCCTCCTCCGCCTCCTCCTCCTCCTCCTCCTCCTCCGCCTCCTCCTCCTCCTCCTCCCGCACCATCAGTGGTCCAACGAACAGTGGTCGCCCTGGGTTCACCCAGGCCCCCCCAGCAGTGGCGACCTGCGACCGCCGCCCGATCTCGAGTGCCGCGCGCAGAGGTCATCACCGCTGGGGGGGTCGGGGTCGGCCGTGAGGGGGGGGGGGGAGGCGCCAAAGGCGGCTCCCTCGGCCAAACGGTTGCGACTCTCTTCTTCGCCCACGACACGAAGAGGAACAAGTGTCGTACTCGGACCCCGTGACCCCGTGCCATCGCTCGGACGTCCACTACCCGTGCATCGTCTGGCTCCGCGCGGGTGCTTCTTTCCAAGGCGGTCCAAGATGCTCCAAGTTGGTCCAGCCTTCTGGCGCTGGCCTGGCCGACCGAAATCCGCACGCCCGAGCGGTGTCAGGACCCCTCCTGCCCTCCCCGCAGCAGTGCGCTTCGGCAGCGCAATGGCCATCGGGCAGTGGCTCCGGAGTGTGGCAGGGGGCGCGCGGAGCCCGCCCGCCTGCGACCTCCTCTGCAGGTCCCACCACCTTCCGCGCCGCGCTCCGCGAGGCGCCACCGACGTCTGCGACCCCGCCCCCCTGCGAAATGCCCTGCTGGCCGCCTGGTCTTCTGGATTCCCAAAGAACGGGATCTCTGCGTTCAGAGACCTCTGCCGCCCCACCCGCCTGCGACCCGCCCTGCTGGCCACGGGCTTCTGGGATTCGAGAAGCCAGCTCTCGACGTGAAGAAACCAGAAGCCGGTTCACGAAGTCAAACAAGCCAGTTCTCGAAGAGCCAGTTTTGGATTCGAGAAGCCTGTTCTTGAAGTTTTTTGTTTGTTTTAAATGTTTTTTATGTTTGTATATATATATATATATATATAAAAAAGAACCCAAAAAAAAGAACAAAAAAAAACGACTTCCCGCGACGCTCCCCGCAAGGCGCGGTGCGCGGCCATCCCCGCGCCCTCGCGGCCTCCACCGCGGAGAGGGGGGCAGCCCTCCGACCCGGGTCGCCGTCTCGCGCGGCGCGCGGTGGTCTTCGCGCCCCTGGCGATGCCTGGGCCCCCATCACTGAGTCGGGCCTGTCCCCCTACAGGGGGATGTTCGACGAAAAACAACACATGCCCTAAAGCTAATAAACATAGCCCCGAAATAGTCTGGGGACTATCTGTTGAGTAATGTTTGACCTTCTTGGGGCATCTTCAAAGTATTTTTTGTTTTTCGTAGAAAATCCCCCTGTAGGGGGACACGCCCGACAGCACCCCATCACTGGAGGGGGGCGTCGAACCTCGGCTCCGGTGCCCCTCCCCGAGCCACAGAGGGGATGACCAGCCCAGCGGGTGCACGGGGGGTCTCCCGATGGTGCACGCGAACAGCAGCATGAGGACCCCGATCACCCCGTCCTCCTCGTTGCAGCTGGAAGTGTCCGCGTCCTGCACGTCCTCCAGCACGAGCGGCGCAAGGAGCACGTAGCCCTTGTAGCCAGCAAAACCCACCGACACGGCCGTGCAGACCCACACAATCTTGTCGCCCCCCTCTTCGACCATGTCCGCTGACCCCCCGCTTGCCAGGGGTGACAAACCACGTCCCCATGCTCCCGCTCCACGGGGGTCCAACATCGGGGTCGGGGAGGGATGAGCTTGCCACCCGCACCTCTGGGGCTGGAGAAATGGCATCAGCCTGTGGGATATAGGTAGAAGTACGACAGAACGATCGTCAAACCTAGAATGCACAAGATCCGCCGGCATCCGTTAAGACACCAGGTCTTCGGATAGGCATTCGCAAGCAGCGGCGCGTAGCGAGGTGACGTCAACCGTACTTCGGAGGGGGGCGGCCGTTTCCACTACAGGAGAATTCTCATCAACACCTCTCCTTCCCCTTCCCCTTCTCCACCGTGGGAGGGGAAGGACCACCAGTAGTGGGAGGAGAAACTGCCGGGGAGTTCGCTTCCTCCTCCAACTCCTCGCCCTCCACCTTCTCCTCCGCCTCCACCTCCTCCTCGCCCTCCTCGGCCCCCCTCCTCCCCCTCCTCTCCCGCACCGCCTCCTTCTGGCAGAGGGCGTGCCGGGAGCGGGCCCCGCGGCCTCAAAAAAAGCCCCGAGGGAGCCGGGGCCCGCCTCCTGCCCTGGCCGCAGGCCTCCCGGCTGAACGGGTACGACTCGAAGAGCTCGCCCACCGTGTGCCACATGAACCTCACCATCGTCACCCGCCAGACGTGCAACTCCCAGGAGGGCGCCCGCTGCGCGCCGGCGAGCGGACGCGGACACCCGGCCCACGCCGGGGCGCTCGCGTGTGCGCCCGGGCCCGGGCGCCCGAGGCGAGAGCGCCCCATGCCCTGGGCTCGGGGCCCGCGCTGTGCGTCGTGCGCGGGGAGAGTGAGAGGAGGAAGAGTTGGGAAGGAGCAGATGCAGCTAGGGCTCCCAACTTCGCGCTTCGCGCTGCGCGAAGCGCGAAGCGCGAATAACTTCGCGCTCTCGCGCCGCCCTCCCAAAGGGAGAAAAGGAGGACGAGGAGGAGGGGGGAGAAGGAACGAGGACCGCGAAGCGCGAAGCGCGAATAACTTCGCGCCCTCGAGGGAGCCCTTGGAGGAGGAAGAATTGGGAAGGAGCAGATGCAGCAGAGCAGGAGCAGAACAGAACCACGGAGGGGAGACGGGGGCGGTGGGTGCGCACAGTTGGCGCCCTCCGAGCCTGAACGGCCGAGTGGAGCTCCGGCAACGTCCCCCGGTCAGGGAAGCAGTACATGAAGCCAGACACGTTTTGGCGCACCGAAGGGTAGTCGATGACGCTCTGGGTTCGGTTCAGTCTGGGGTCGAAGCATGCGCTCTTCGTAGTGTTGCCTGTTGGACACTCCTTCACACAAGCTGGATGCGAAAATTGCACAGAGTCCTCCTGGTCTTCAAAGTTCTGAACACGGCAGAACAACTGATACCCATCCGAGGCATTGGTCCCGCAGTGACTCGGAGAGCTCTCGGCGCCATCCAGAAGGACGTGTATTTTCTGGTGCTCCAGCGAGAAATGCAAGATACGCGTCTCCACCACCATGGCCAACACCTCAGAGGCCCCGCCCCGATCCAGAACACATACCACATACGGTTGGTTCGTCTCGTGACAATCGACCTGCGTCTCGGTTTCTGATGCCGCTTGGACTGGCCAGCCCTGACCGCGCCTTTCCGATTACGAAGATCGTCCGATGTCGGCCGATTCTGGGCCGCTGGCGGCGTTCAACCTTGAGCGCTTGCCCTGGGGCCGCCGCCGCGTGGACACGACACGAAACCACCGCACTCCAGGGCCTGATCCTGACCTGGCCACTCCGATCCGTCCCGAAGCACGGAGCGCCATGCTAGTGATCGGCAGCTCCTAGCGGGAGTACAGCAGGGGCCCGACCACAAGAAACCTTCCACAAGAGACGCAAGCCTGAGACCCCAGGATTTCCATCGATGTTAGGTGTTGGAACGTCACGCTTTCCATGGCAAAACCGTCGAAACCCAAGAAACCCAGGGCACCCTGGAAGTAAGCAGGGTATTTCTTGGCATGGGTCTCCACTGAATGGCGACTCCAATCCCCGACTCTGCAGGCGTCTCGGCCGAACCCAGACTTTGGGGCCCAGCTCGGGGATATATACGATATGATAAAGGGGTCGCCCGTCCTCGGTACGGGTGCGCCCAAGCAGCTCCCGTATAGTGTCTCCCCAGCGCTCCCGCTCGTTTCTGAGCGGCCTGATTTGTTGTTTGGGGCGGCGTGGAGCGGGGGCGAAAACTCGACTGCGAGCTCCGATCTGGATCGATCCACCGCAACGGCTCAAACCGGCGGCCCGATGGAAACAGGATCGACGCATCAAGGCCGTGTTGCGCTGCTCCGTCGCTGGGCAGGTGGCAGGTGGCGGGCGGACGGAGGGGGAAGACGTGGAGAAGAGGGCGGAGGAGAGGGAGGAGGAGGATGAGGAGCGTCGGTACCATGAGGGGTTCGAGGAGGACCCAGGACTCCACTGACCCCGCCGAAACTACGAGGGAACCGCGAGGTGACATGCGGAAAACGCGGCTACTCCAGAGCCGCGTGGGCGTCACCGCCTAAGGATATCCCAGCACCCGGGTGAATTCGAAGACGAGGGAAAGGATGGGGACAGGGTGGAGAAGGGGGGATGAGGCGAAAGGATTCTTCCCACCGCAAACTCTCCCCCGAAGCACGTCGACTGAATTAGCCGGCCGCCGAACAACAGAAGGAAATATAAACGGCGTGGACAAAGGCCGTCGTCCCGGAAGAGCCCAGAACGGACGTAGGCCCCAGGAGGAGGAGTGTTTTGTTTCGACCTCCGCGGCCTCACCACAAAAGCCTCTATAGGGCGACTTAACAACCGCTGTGGGAGATGCTGTGAGCAAAGATGCGGCGTGCAGCGGGCGCAAGAGAAAGAGCAGGCGGCACGCTGCCACACGCGGCCTGGGACGCCAGGCCCAACAGGAGAGGCTCCAGTCAGCCGCACATGACTTCTACCTCTGCGGTTCTCGCGGCCCACAATAGGCGACGAGCCCAGGGGGGAAATGAGAAGGAGAAGGCCTTCTCAGAAGGCCGCGGGACTTCTTGGAAGTCCGGGGGGGTTCTGAGACGTTTCCTTGGCCTATTTCGAATACAGACAGAACTTCTCAGAAGCCCTCTCAGAAGTCCAGAAACTTCTCAGAAGCCTCGGAAGTCCCGCCCCTTCTCATTTCCCCCCCGCGCCCGCCGCCGACACAAGGCCCAGGTGTCGAGCCAGGACTGGGGCCCAAAAAAGGATGGGGCGCACACAGGATGCAGGCGCTAAGTCGGGCGTGCCCCTCTACAGGAGGAATATTCAAAAGTAGTCAAAAACAGTCAGTGAACGATTGTTAAACATAGTTGTAAGCGCTGTGTGGCTATAGGTGGACTGTTTCAATATGTGTTGCCCCAAAGCCGCCTGTACGAGGATACGCCCGACCTGATGCAAGCACCCTGAGACCACTACTGTCGAGGCCTCGCCTCCAGCCTCGGACTGAAACGAAAAGGGCGCACTCTACACAGGAGCACGGCCAAGAAGCACGGCAGCGCTAAAACAAGCTCGAGAACACTGTCCACCGCAACAGTGATGTGGCGGCGTCTCTCGTGTGAAAAAAACTCCACCCAGTAGCCGAATGCCTGGATGGTAAACCTGCGCACGTTCCCCCTAGTCCTCTGACCATGGCACCCGTGGGATGACACTTGAATCTGACACGCATCGAGAGCACGGAACCATCGGAACACGGAACAGCCAAGACGGCACGTCCTACACGCTGGAGCACAGTAGCATCTTAAATTGGACCTGTTGGAGCAACTACCTGGGGGGGGCTCCTGCGGGGCCCTCTCACCGAGCAAGCACTGGATGCACTAGCAGCTAGCATACAGCAGGCACGAGACACCGTGACTAGAACATCAATCTCTAACGTGCTGGCAGAATCCGAAGGGTGAAGCTGGAGACCGTGCTTGGCCCCTACGTCGGCATCTTTGTTGCCCCTGCGAAGGAATCTTTCACGCTCAGAGGTACCCGCTTAGTCCACGTCGAGATGGGCCTTGACCTTCACAATGGATTCAACTAAAGCACCTTCGACATTGATGGCCTGCACAATCACAATTGCGTAGGATCTCTTGTACCGCCCGGGAAGAGGCAAAAGGAATGATGAACAGCATTGGCACAATCACTGTGCATCCCAAGGAGGAGGAGCGAGGAGGGAGGAGGAGGAGAGGGAGGAGGAAGGAGGGGGAGAAAGAGTCGGCGGCCCGTTCGGGTCCTTAGTCGCCGGGGCCGGGGCCCTCTGAGGACAAGGCCAGGACCAGCAGCCAGAAGCAGTCGGTGCAGTGGTGGTGAACCTCCGGCAGGGCGGCAGGACCAGACCGCCGCCCGCCCCCCCCCTCATCCCCCATCATGCCTGTGGCGGCAAAAATGATGCCGCCAATCACCCTGTACATGGCAATTGAGATCTTCGACTCCGTGCACCCACAATCGATACTCAAGGCGGGCAGCGGCTTTTACCCTGCGGTGCTACCTGGCAGACCGCCATACGAACAACAAAAGCATTGGACAATCGAGCTTGCGCCAGTGGTGCTCTGATGCTCTGATGCGGTCCCCAGAGCAGCAGCATGTAACCAACGAGTTCTAAAGAGCTCACCAAAGGATCTGGATTCAAGAAATGAACGGGTACATCTGGGATGAAGGGGTCCTGGGACACACACATACATATACACACATAACAGAATTCCCCATATGTTCCCCATATTTTCTGGGTGTTTGTTTTCCCCCCCGCTTCCCATAATTTCCGATAGTCTCCTGGGGATCGACGATTAATTGTGTCTGTGTATGTTTCCCCCTCCTGATGGGAAGCGCACCGCACATGGATACCTCGTACGGGAACTTCAGCCCGCCACGGTGCCCCCTGCCCATGGTAGGGTGGAGGAGGGGGAGGAGGAGTCGAGGAGGAGGAGGCGGTGGAGGCGGAGGAGTCGAGGAGGAGGGGTCGAGGAGGAGGAGGAGGAGGAGGAGGAGGAGGAGGAGGAGGAGGAGAGTGCCATGTGCCGTCTGCAAGGGTTTGTGTAGCCTCTTCGAAACCGACGATCCCCTGCGGTCGCATGCAGAA